TGGACACCGTCTCCATGCCCGAGTTCATGGCCAACCTTAGGCTCAGGTGAGCGCGTCGCGGCTGTCATGCTGGGTTTCCCGAGAGGGGGCGCTGCTGAAGTGCCTCGGCACTCGGGGTGCACTGGGCGAGTAGCTCCCGCGAAGGAGTGCGTCGGGGTGACAGGGGGTCCGCGGCGCTGGGTGGTCACGCCTCCCCGAGAGAGGACCCCTCCGTGGTGCGGCCTTGGGACTACAGGGTGTGATGAGGTCTAGAGCTGCACTTTTAGGGGTCTGGGGTCGTCCCTGAGTGGTGTCCGGATTGGGGCGATAGAAGCATGCTGAGTTTGAGGTCGCTTGGGACAGCGCCAGCTTGCCCTGCGCCAGGTAAGTGATGAGGGCGGGACCGGATGACTTAATGGAACAAAAAATAAAGAAAAAGAAGAACTTTTAGGAGCGGTGTGGTGGCCCTGGCGGCCCTAGGAAAACGGGAGGGTTGTTTTTCTGGCATCTCTTCCCGCTTTCGCGCTTGATTTTCTTTTCTTCCCCCCCCCAACCCCGCCCCCCGGTGTGGTTCCAGTCTGCCATTCAGGATGCTTTGGAGTGAGCCCTGAGCTGTCTGTTCCGGGACACGGGCTATTTTTTAGTTACTTTCGACGTAATTAGACACGTTTCCAGACATCGATGAGACTGCTGTACTTGCCAGTGCCAAGATAAACTGTCTGAATTTGACAAGGCGTCCATGGTTTCAGTTTTTTCAAGGAGTTATGGATGGAGCCCTTGTGTTACTGACATCCTTGAGTATTTAGTCACAACTCTCGCCCCAAAATGGACTTTCAAGAGGAACTTATTTTAGAAAGCTTTCTATATGTGATTATTTCATTTTTGATAGAGTGACATGTAAGCCAAGTATTAAAGCAGTTTGACTTTTTAAAAGTGAAACCGAGTTTCTAAATAGCTTAAAGTGTGTGTGTGTGTGTGTGTGTGTGTGTGTGTGTGTGTGTGTTCCTATTTGTTCCCAGAAGCTTTGCTTTGTCTGTTGTTTGTAAAGTTTATATAGCCAAGTATCAGTTCTTAAAACCTCAAAATCATAATTAGGTTTGCATGTTTAACCTCATTTTTCACTGTCAATCTTAATTTCACAATAAAAAAAGAAGAAAAAAAACAGACACCTGGTTTACTCTTTGAACCAGCAAAACAAATAATTTTATCTGTTCTTTCTCTGCTATATAGCTCAGGGTGACCTTGACTTTTTGATCCTCCTACCTCTCTACCTGTATACTGGGAGTACAGGTGTGTACTACCACACCTCATTTATGTAGAGCTGGGAATCAAACCCAGATTGCACATTAGGCAATCACTCTATCAACAAACAGGGCTGCATCACCAGGCTTCCTAGAGCAGGAGTGCCTGCCTGAATGCTACACCTGCCTACCATAAACTGGCCTTGTCTGGGGGTCTCCATTTCTTAATTATAAAGTAACAAGGATCTCCAGGAGTTTTCAGTACTTATATTTTAGGATTCCCTGAGTTTCCTAGGGTAGTAGTCTCAAAGATACACAGTGTATTCCTAAATAGAGTGTTGCGTAGTAGTATGTAGTTCCCTCAGTGTCCTCAGAGAGTCTGTTCCAAGAGTCCCTGTGGATTCTAAAATCTGAGTATACTCACCTATAATCCCAGCTACTTCAGAGGGTGATGCTGGAGAATGTGAGTTTGAGGCCAGTCTGGGCAATTTATCAAGACTGCATTTAAAAATGGTGATTGGAGGATGCCCGAGCCCTTAGTGTAAACTGACAAGAGTAGTAGCCCCTTCCTATCTGTGGGAGGTATATGACAAGAAACCCCCTAGTGACTAAACCCTATATACTATGTTTTTACCTGTAACTACAAACATATGATCAACTTTATAAATTCAATACAGTAAGAGTTGAAAAAATTGCTGCAATAGAACAGAACTATTGTAGCAATATACTGCAATAAAAAGTCGAGTTTCTTGTGGTTTCTCATTCAAAAGATGATTTTATGTCATATTCACTTTCATTGATAACATACAGCTGCATAAAATGAAGTTTTTGATAAGAGATTCTTATTTGCATAGCCTGTATTACACATATCTTCCTGTATTTCCTTCTTTGCAGTCCCAGGGACTGAACTCAAGGCCTTGTGTGCACTAGGCAAATGCTCTACCACTGAGCTACATCTCTAGCCCCTCCTATGTTCTTTAAATTATATCTAGGTTACTTATAATATCAAATACAGTATAATGCTGTGTAAATAGTTATATTATATTATTAGGGGATAATGACAAGAAGAAATCTGAACTTGGTTGTGATACAAGGTTTTCTCCAAATCTTTTCAGTTCTTAGTTGATTGGGAATATAGAACCAGCAGTTACAGAAAGCCAACTGCAGATTGTATCTATAGCACTATGATAGCATGTTGCACTTTTTTTGGTTGGTTGTTGTTTTTATATTTATTTATTTATTTGTAGTCTCCCTATGTGTAGCCTCAAACTTAAAGCAATCCTCTTCAGTTTCCTGAGTTCTGGGATTAATAGCATGTGACACTGTGTTTTCTATGTTAATTTAAGCCAAAGTTTAGATGCCCAACTTGCATATAAATGACCTCAAATGCCATCTATATCAAAATGACATAATTACAGCTACAAGCAGTACTGTGGTGGTTCAGAGTCAATGGCCAAGATTCAGCTTCTCATTTTACTACTTTCTTGGTATGGTCTATGGATGCCTTATTTAAACATCTCTGTATCTTTATTATTTTTTAAAAAAATAGGGTCATCTTGAGGTTAAGTTAGTTAGTATACGTAATTCCAAAGACTACTTCCTGGTAAGTACTTATTAGTAATACTGTTCAAAGTTTTCTCAAGTGCACATAAAGTAGAGAGTAATGTAAAGTAATAATTTCACATATTAAATGTGTTCAAAATTATTTGAGATTCTTCCCTTCCCCCATGATGGAGCTGTGTGCTTTGAGAAGTCTCTTCGTAATTAAACTGCTGCCAATTACTAATCATTTCAGTTTATCAGACATCAAGTACATTTGCTAATTGCATACTACATAGAAGACACAACAGTAACACTTGAATATGGTGTCTTTTTTTAACTTCCATACAGTATATGTACAACACACATGGCATGACATTAGCCAGACTTTTGAGGAATTTTCTGAGTTTCATGTTGAAGGCTTAGAGTCTGACCGAAACTAGTTTTTAAAGCTTCCTTTTTGCGGGATATGGTAGCCTGCTCCTGTAATCCCAGCACTTGGGAGGTTGAGGCAAGAAGCTTGCAAAGTCTTGCTAGCATAAGGTACTAGTGAAATCTTGCCTTACAAACCACCCCACCCCAACAGACTAGAAAAGACAAAGCAAAGAAAAACACTTCCCCATCCCTCTGCAATAGGGTTAAATGATTGTGGCTTTTAAAAAATAATGCCATCATTATTACCATTGTCAGTACTGGGTGTCTAACCTAGGATAGGGACTTTGCATGCCAAGACAGTGCTCTACTGCTGAGTTTGCCCTGCGGCTTTTTTCTTTTTAAGTAAATCAAAAAAGGACAACATTTAGAATGTTTTTTTTTGTTGTTGTTTTTGTTTTTTAAAGGCTTTCACATTCATTGGTTGCAAGCTTTCAAAAGTTGGAATTATTAGATCTTTAGGGAGAACCTGACTTCTGTGTGCACAGAAGAAAATGGTATAATTGTTTAAGGTCCTCTGGAGGATGAGATGTGTAGATGCAAAGAATTATGAGTGTGAACTGTTCTTATCTCAGAGAGGTGGCATGTCACTGAACATGGGGAGAAAGACAACAATTGCTATTAATTTAGAAAACAGAAAATGAGATAAGCTTTATAGAGCTAAGAATTTGTCAAGTAATTCTACAAACTTAATTGTTCTGGAAGTTCAAAAGAGGAAGAAACCCCATAGGTTGACTCAGAAACACCCCGAAGAGAAGTTGAGCTAAGTTTCAGAGGATGAGTAGTGCTCATCTGGGTGGATCTGTGGGTGGAGAACATTCCAGGTGGATACAATGGCATGAGTAGGGTATGGTGGCATGAAAGCTGACTGATTGTGTTTAGATGATAGTGAATGAGCTGTGCTATCTTCAGAGGAGTTGGTGTTGGGGATCTGTGGGAGGAATCATGAGCTCTCATTATCAGGATTCCTGGCCACCGCTCAGATTTCCAGTCTGCCTGTCCCCTGCCAGTCAGAATCTTGATGGTCAGATACCTGTATGTGTTGGCTGCTGTGTTGCTTTGGGTGGGTGGGTGGGTGGTCTCCCTCTGTGGCCAAAGCTGACCTCAAACTCATAATCCTCCTGCTTCTGATTCTATGTACTGGGATTACAAGTGTGTGACACCACAGCCAGCAATTGTGTGTATGTAACTCTGAGAGTGAGCTGTGATTCTCATTACACAGATCATCAATTGCTCAGTTGTTAATTCCCTGAAGCCTTCAACATAGTGCCAGCTAAGGGTAGCACCATACCTTCTTTTACAGCTACAAATCACACCCCAGCTTTAAAACCCTCTCTGATACTTTAAACTTCCTGTCATCTTGACATCTCCCCTCACCCCCATGACTGTATTTAGCTGTGAGTTCCTGGAATTTGTTGCTGTGTCCTTTGGCTCTCCAGTTTGCTTTATTTACAGATGACCAAGAATCACCACAGCAGACCACATGCTAAGATGAGATGTTTAAAAGTTTTCAACATGTGTGGTTGGGCTACACCAGGTATATTCTTTTGGCGGTCAGCAGGTGAAACGGGAAGTGTCTGATTGAGGGGTGGATGCCGGTATGCAAATGACATTCCTGAAGGTGTTCCTATTACTCCTGCCACTCCTCATGCTGTCTCCCATTTGTGCTCCTTATTCTGGAATGTCTGGTCCTGTGGTTTCCGCCTGGCTCTTCTGCATGGACTGCTTCCTTCCATTTTTAGGGACTGTAACATACAGAGAAGTACCTAAGGCTGCAATTACTTCAGGGGTCTGTGACAGCAAAACTCGATTTTAATTTTCTCAACAGTGGAAAATTTACGTCAGTGTGCAGGGCACATAGTGCATTCCTTTATGGTAACCGTTTATTGTGGATAGAGAAGAAAGGAATGTTTCAGTTACTTTTAGTAGAACTTTTATGGCATTGGGTGTGGCAGTGCACACCTGTCAATTCCAGCACCTAGGAGTCCAAGTCAGGAGAATTCAAGTTCAAGCCAGCTTGGACTACATAATAAGACTTTGCCTCAATAATCATTAAAATAAATAATTTAAAAACTTTTAAAAATATCATTTTCAATTTGGAATTGTCTTTTCAGAACTAGTGATATAGGTCTGTAGTGTAATTCATAGGATGTGCCACCTACCATGTGCAAG